TGCTCTCTGGCCTCTCCCTTCCAATCTGGGGCCAGGCTGGACCCATCAGGACTGGGGGAGCAGCGAACAGGGTCGGGAGCTGAGACGAGGCCCGGTAGGATCAGCCAAGGAGCCACGGCAGGAGTTCCAGAGAAGCGGCCGCCTTCATCTCCACCTCTGCCATACTTGCCAGGACTCTGGAATCGAACAGGGAACAAGGACTGATAGAGGGCACTTTTCTGCCTCCCATCTTCCATCATCATCAGAGCTCCAGGGTCTGAGCAGAAGAGTGCAGGGGGGGGATCTCCCCTTCCTCCAGTTCTTGGGGAAACATCTTCTTGCTCCTTCAGCCACCTCCCTTGGCCCGGTCAACGTCCCCTGGCCCAAGCCTTGGAGCGGAGGGACGGCAGGGTCGGGGAGCGGAAGGACCCAGCAGCATGGGGCGGGGGGGGGAAGCCCAGAGGCAACCGGGGTCCTTCTGCTTTCCTTGGGAACCTGGAGGAGCAGCTTTGGGGGTGTTCTTCTCTAGGGCATCCCCTCGCGCCCCCCCTCTTCCCTCCTTCCAGCTTCACGTCTTCCGGTCCACTAACAGAACCTCCACAAAATGGTGCTGTTGTGAGTGCAAAATACTCCGCGAGCAGCGTGTGCGTCTGTGTGCATGCTCGGGAGCTCTCTCGCTCTGGGCACTAACCCGGATCCCTCTGCCTGTGTGTGTCCCTCTTCCCATCTGTTTGTCTGCGCAGGCACTTCATTGAGTAGGACGCATTACTCAAAAGTCAGCAACCCCTGAATCCCTGCCCCCTTCCCGGCCACGGCGGCTCCACAGTGTGTGCTGGAAGGAAGAGGAGAGGCGGAGGTGGGGCGGTGGGGTGGGGTGGGTCACCCCAGTCCCTCCTCCTCCTCCTCCCCATTTTCCACTGCTGCCTCCACTTTGCAGCTCTCTCTTCCACCCACTCCCCACCCTGAGGGGCATCTCTCCCTTGGTTGCCTTTGCACCAACCCCAAGGCAGCCCCACCCACCCCACTGCCCAGGGGTGGGCCAGGAAAGGAAGGGCAGGGGAACCCCCTGCGTTCGGGATTCTGCCCGAGAGGCCTCCGGAGCACCCAATGGGGTCGGAGTCTGTCCTTCTGCGCCCACGCCAGCTCTTCCGGGAGCAGCCCCGTCTGCCTTGAGGTCAAGGGCTGAGCCCCTTGTGCCCTAGATCAGTGTCTCCCACCCTTGGGCCTCCAGATGTTCTTGGACTTCAACTCCCAGAAATCCTGGCCAGCAGAGGTGGTGGTGAAGGCTTCTGGGAGCTGTAGTCCAAGAACATCTGGAGGCCCAAGGTTGGGGACCACTGCCCTAGATGGAGGCCCGGGCAGCGCCCAGACTTTCAAGCACAAGGTCATCATGCAGTAGCAGCAGCAGCACAAGGGGGGGGGGTCTGTTTGGGGGGGAGTCAGCTTTGCACTCTTGTTAACAAGCCATATCCTCACCACCAGCCTGGCTCCTGGGGAGGGGCTCACCTGTTGCGGCAGAGAGATGTATTTTTAGGTAATAAAATGGCAGGGAAGTCTGGGGTGGGGGGCAGGACCTTAGCAAAGTGGGGCACAGAGGCACATGGAGGAGACAAAAGCCCGCAGCGCTCCACCAAGTCCAGAGGCCAACGAGGGCAACGCACCCATCTCCAAGCCCTCCAGACAGAAGACACAGCCTGTGGAGGGAAGTAGAAAGTTTAAGGCAGCCTGAGGATTTTTCGCTCCACCTCTCCTGCCCTGCTGCCGTTCCTTGGAGGGTGGCAAGGGGCAAGGCCACCTCTGCTCTTGAACCCAGAGCCTTCCAGGCCATGGCCCTGCTAGAAATCTTTCTCTTCCAAGTCAGGGGATGAGTTTGTCTGCAACGGCGCTACATAATCCAAGGGTTCTGTCGGCTCACGGCTGTCGGGCGTGCAGCCCCTGCGCTGAAATCTCAGATGCCTGGAATTGGGCGCAGTAGCTGGGTTTTCGGATTGCAGGCCCTCCCACGATGTGCTGGCCAGGCTAGAGAGGAACTTGCCCCACCATCCATTTGTTCTTGGTGGGAAAACACAAGACAGCGCAGCGGTTGCCCCAAAGCCTCTTTTGGCCCCGGGATGATGTGTTGTGTTGAGCCCCACCTCCTTGCCCTGAATCCAGCCACATGCTTGATCAGTAAACGGCCAGAGGATTAGCTACAGCCTGGTGGACCTCTGACTCAACCCTTCCTCTTGTGGGCTGAGACGTCCAGGGCAGCTTCTTCCAGCGGGTAGGCATATCCAGGAGGGGATCCGGGCTGTCCTGGCCAGCCTCCTTTTGTCCCAGGTGTCGCTCCCACAGCCCTCCCCTGGAGCTGGTACAGTTTCATCCGTTAATGCTTCCGCACCCCCGCCTTCCTTGATTGTTCAGAAGCTGTAAAATATTGTAATTGCTTTAAATAAGCCTTTTTTTTTCTTTCTTTCTGTCTTGTATAGAAAAAGAACCACCAAAACTGGAGTATTTGGGGTTGTGTTCTCTCTCTTTGGCTGTAAATCTTTCTTGGAGATTTGTGTTTTTCAAACAGAGACCAATTTGTAAAGATTTTAGATTTTGGTTGCATGAGGTCAAGAGACTAGTTCTTCCTGCTTGAATGCTTCTTAACGTGGTTTCCCGTTTTTACAAATCCCACAAAGACGACCCTTCCACACGTGTGCAAGCTCAGTGGCTAAAATCCTCGGGTAAGTCTCACCACCGTGAGCCCACTGCCTCAGTGGGGATCTGGCGAGTTAACTCCGTAAGGTCCATTGATTCCAAGAGGATGCTCCAGTTGTGTCTTCCTGCTGGAGTTCAGCTAACAGGGTTTCGTCCACAATGCCTGTAGGTAACAGCTGTGGATACTGAGACCCATGCACAGCTAAATCCTGCTGCACAGAAATGATCTGCCCCCCCCCCATGAAATCTCATCACAGATCCTTGTCCCTTTGTGCCGATGGTGCAACTAGAGGCTGGGAGGGTGAGCAGCGCGTCATTGCTGTACAAGAAACAGGGATGGATGGAGCCGTCCTAGATGCCGGTGGCAACCAGCTGTGACTTGCTGAGTCTCATGTCTTAGTCGGGCCTGTGGGCTTAGTAGCTCATGGACACAGGTGGGCACAGGCTCTCCCCATATTTTGAGGGAGTCTTCTCTTGATCTGGTCACAAACCGCCTCCTGTGTATGGAGCCACACTTCCTTTTCCAGGGAGAGTGCTGTAGCACGCAGGCCAGCTCTTAGACCCAACCTTGCTGCAATTTGAGACTCCTTCTGAGACATATAATTGACAGCAATATGTACCTGCTGTGTTCATTTCTCAATAGGGCTCCCCCCCCAGGAGCCTCCTCTCTCAAAGAGCCCAGCAGGTCCTGATCCACGAAGCTTCAGTGGATGTCTGCCCCCCCCTCTCAAGATGCCTGCCCTACCAACGTTTTCCAACCCACAAGTGTGAGGAGACAGAGGGTTATTGAAGTCTGATGCCTAGCGAAGCAGGTGCCGGGGCTGAGTGGGTGGGATTCAAGGCTAGTTCCAGAAGAGCTCCTACATAAGACATCCCAGGAGAATGAGGGATTCCAGCGAAGCCCGCCTATACATAACAACACTAGAAGGGGCCCGCCTAAGTATCTTACTTCCTCACAGTTCTATGCAGTTAGTAGATGGTTCCTGGGGATGCCTGCAAGAAGGCAGGAAGCTCGTGAACATTACAACAGCTCTTCTAATGCTAGAGGCTGTGGGTTCCAAAGACTGATCCAGTGACATCTTGGCTCCACCTGGGGTGACTCATCTCTGCCCGGCCACCTCTGTGGCCTGCTCCTAACAATGGTACCCGATCTTCCAAGAAGGCGGCGCTCCAGCTGAGGTCACAACAGCAGGCCCATTCATTGTCCAGTCTGGCCAAGCTACGGGAGTCACAGCTCAGCTTTCTAAAGAAATCCACATGTCAACCCGTGGTTCTTGTAACAGATGAATAGAATAAAATAAAGCAGTTCATTGTCCAGTCTGGCCAGGCTACGGGACTCACAGCTCAGCTTTCTAAAGAAATCCACATGTCAACCCGTGGTTCTTGTAACAGATGAATAAAATAAAACATAAACGTGCATTTGCAGGGTTCCTCATAGCCTTCGGCAGATCGTACAGTGCAAAAATTAGGAGAAGGTAAACAAAGCGATTCTACAAAAATGAAACAAACAAAATTAGTCATGGTGTATTACGCAAGCTGTTTCGGTAGCTGCACAGTAGTGCAGAAAAGAAACGTTAAAAACATGTTTCCAGTTTGCTGTGAGGTACTTCCTGTGGTTGTTTTTCTATGACGGTTTCAATGTCAACTTGGTTGCTATCGGATGTCAACATATATGGCAACCATGTAACCAAAATCCTATTAGACACAGCTGCTGGTCGAATGCAATGCTGTAAATGCTTCCCTTCGTTGCCCTCCTCCGGACTTCTTTGTTGGCTGCCCTGTCAAGGCTGATCCACATTGCAAATGTGTCTGTCTTGTTCACCGTAGCCTGGGTTAAATAACAGTTCATGATGCTGAGCTTATCAGTGGCATAGAAGAGATCCACCACTAGGGATGTGTCATGTGGACATTTCTGGACTCCCAACTCCCTGGGATTCTCATCACTCCCCTGGTAGAGGTCCTAGGTGTTCCAGCCTGCTGATGCCTACCTTTCACTCACCCGGCACTGCCAAGGCACGGCCTTTTTCTAGTCCTCCATTTCCTGCTGCAACGCTTCCTGGAAGATGGTGGCCTCATTGGCATTTATGCGCTATAAATGGTGCCTTCTGAAGAACCACCACTCCTAGTAAACACTGTGGCAGCAAATAAAGGTCTCTAGGCCTTGCCCAGGCGAGCGAAAGGAAGCCATTCTGCAGGCATCTGCTTGTGACCCAAGGGGCTGCCCCTTGGCCTCTTTCTGACAGGGAGCGACAGGGGTCAAAGGGTCAATTGGAGCCCAAATTCAGGCATCAACCCCTGGCAGGAGGAAAACGGGGGACCCTGTACAGGAGTTCCACCCCTAGAGGCACTTTTCCAAACTCTGGGAAAAGAAACAGCCCTGAAAACACCAGGTGTGGTGTATCACAACACCCAACATCCCTTCTCCTGTTTAGGAAGTAGGGGTAATGGGGCTTGTAGTCCGTTCTTTCGTTGGTCAGGTCCTCCTGAACCAGCCTATGGCACAGCCAATAGAGAGGCAGAAGAGGTGGGTCCTTAGGAGTCTCATCCAATGAACAGAAGGGACAGAGCCAGCCCCCCCCCCGCAGCCAATCGCAGAGGGAACCGAGGAGGCCTCTCTAGCCGACTTGTTTGCCTGAGGGAGTCCCGCTCTCGCGAAACGTTGCCCAATCGTAGACTAAAGGGGTTGACGACGCTCAGCCAATAGGGAGAGCAGGGAGGCAGGACCTTCTCGCCCTTGGCAGCCAATGGTTCCCGGCGGGGGAGCCATAGCCCAATCGATTCAGAGGAAGTCGGGGCCTATTGGACGCGGGACTCGAGGGCCGCCTCCGTCCAATGGCGTCGCGGCGAGCGGGGGCGGGAGGGGGGGCGGGCGGCCGGGGCGATGTCGGCGCCGGGAGCGCCGGGGGAGCTGGTGCAGCTGAACGTGGGCGGCCGGAGGCGAGTCGGGGAGGCTCAGGCCACGCCCCCTGGCGAGGGAGGGGGGAGGGGGAGACCCACCCTCTTTGGACTCTATACGGCCGCAATAGCGGTCGTGGTAACGGTAACGAGGGCGACAAGGAACGGTAGTAACGGGAACGAGAGTAGTTGCCGTTCATTAGTTACCTAATAGCGGTTTTAATATGGATCGTGAATAGCAGGAGACTAAGGCAGAAAGAGGGATGCTCGTTAACAAGCCAGGGGTATTTTCTAGGTGAGGTAGGAACAGGAGCGTGAAGATAAAATCTCCCTGAAATAATTGGCATGGCAACAGAGATCACTTGCAATAATGTAGTGTTACTGGTCAAGTTTGGTTCCCCCCCCCCAGGTCTTGTGAAGATTGCAGCTAAACACAGAGGGAACAAGGGAGGATGTTGATTTCATGCATCTCCAGTTAGAAAAGATGATATAGCAGATGATGGGGAAACAGCTCTGACTGAAATCCTAGAGACTGTTGGATAGCTCGGTGATTTAAGCATCTGGCTGCGGAGCCAGAGGTTGGGAGTCCAGTTCCCCCACTGGGCCTCTTAGACAAGGACTAGACCCCATGATCCGTAGCGTCTCTTCAAGCTCGGCAGTTCTAAGATGATGATGATGATCCTTCATGGGCTGCTGGATAGCTCAGAGATTAAGGCAGCTGGCTGCAGAGGCTGGGAGTTCTAGTCCCCCCCCCTCACTTGAGAGGGGCTGGACTGGATGATCCATAGGGTCCCTCCCAGCTCTGCAGTTCTAAGATGATGATGATGATGATGATGATGAAGAGGTCCCAGAAGAAGAATACCTCGAATGGCCCTGGCTGTGGTTGCCTCTCTGCTGCTTTGGGCTGAATGGAGCCAAAAGATGACTTCCAGTGGAACAGCAAAGGGCTTCCTTCCTGGGACGTTCCCTGCCTGCCCTTGGAAGCAGGTGGGGTCGGGTGGGGGGTGGGGGAAAACACAGGCCACCAGTCCAAGGTGCTCCTGAGGGGGAGCTTTCCCAGCCCCTCCTCTCTCACGGCCAGCTCTGAGCAACAGAGGAAATGGGGCCTGATGATGATCCCGGTGGCTCTCTCTGACGTTGGGCAGCTCATTTCAGAAGCAGCGACCCCCCCTTTTTCCTAGGGTAGCTTTTGGTAAAAAGAAAAGTCTGCCTGCCTGGGGACGTTGGGGGCCCGGTTGAGGCCCCTCGGCCACCCACTGGGCACAGTTTGCACGGATTCCCCAGTCGCCCTGGAAACTCACTCCCCTGTGCCTGCCTTGCAGCCTCCTCAGCGGCCGGATCTCTACTTTGAAGGATGAAACGGGCGCTGTGAGTGATTTTGAAAGCCTTTTCTCCCTCCCCCCTGGTTGGGTCCCTGCTCTTGGTCCAGAAACCAGGATGAGGGCAGCAGAGGGGTGTGCTTTGCACGCATGCTTTGGGCAGTGACGCACCCAGCAAACGCTTCTGTTGGCATTGCCACCGGTACTGGGAGACTTCCCTTTTCTTCCTATACTCTGCTCAGCACCACACGGCCCTAAATGCATGCTAGTCATGGTGTGGTGGTGGCAGGCATTGAGCTAGACCTTCTTGCTGGAGTCAGTAAGAAGGCAGAAAGTGTGAATATCTTCATCTCCCTGTTTCTTCTCCACTTAGATCTTCATTGACCGAGATCCAGAAGTCTTTGCCCCCATCCTAAACTTCCTCCGGACCAAAGAGCTGGACATCAGGTGCAGTGCGGAGAACCCAGTGGCCTCCCTCTGGCCTAGGGAAATCTCACTGGGAGGATTCGGTTTCTCTTTGGTTCTCCCACCTTCTGTGGGCTTCTTAGGGTTGTGGGGATGAAGTGGGAAAACACCCCTCCTTACCCCAAAGCATTTTCTGCCCTTCCAGGAAGACCAACGCTTCCCTCCTGCTGCACGAAGCACAGTTCTATGGGATCACGCCACTAGGTATGCCGGGAAGGGGGACTGGGAGGAGGTAAAACACAGGGCAGAGGATGGGAAAGAGGCCGGCCTTTGCTGGATCCTTGGTACGTTAGGACTTGTCGCTGCAGATTTTAGCCCTGTTCTGTGCCAGGGTCCAACTGACCTTCAGGCAGGCTGTCCGAAGGATATACCACGATGCCACTTCGGGCAAGGCTTCTACCTGGAACCTAGGAGGGCACCTGCCACAGCTGAGAAACCTGGGCTAGAGAAGGGCCTTCTGCTCTGCCTCCTGGGTTCAGTGTCCCAGAAGCGGAGTCCTTGTGGGACTGATCTCCCTCATCCATCTTGTTTCCTCTAGTGCATCACCTCCAGCTGCACGAGGAGCTGGAACGGTCCTCCTGTGGAAGTGTTCTGTTCAATGGCTACCTCCCACCACCAGGTATGGGGCGCTCAGGTCCTGGGAAGGTCGTGTGACTTGGCTGTACACAAGGACCAAGCCCCCCCCCTCCCCCTTGCGGATACCAAAAGACGTGGAAATAAGGAACACTCTCTGCATTTTATGGTCTCTGGCTTTCTCTAGCGGATAGCTCTGGTGTATACACCCTGGAGATACTTATAAATCCATATTTCTGGTGGGTTTTATTTAGTATTTTAAAGCAAGAGATAAGTGAATCAGCAGGCAGTCCTTCTGCATATAGAGGGGTTCAGCTGTACTTCTCATTCTTTTGTGGGGATTAGGGAAGCAGGCAGCCCTGGTACTTGGGAGCATGGCTGCCGTTCAGCACCCTCCCAGGGCTCAAGCTGTCGTACCCCTTCCTCTCCCTTCCAGTGTTCCCTGCCAAACGGTGGAACCGCCACAGTGTCACAGGTGCACAGCTGGCTGCCCGGCCAGGGAACCCCGGGGAGCGGGCCCTCGTGCGGCGAAGCAACACCATGCCCCCCAACCTTGGAAATGCCGGACTTCTGGGACGACTCTTGGAAGAGAGGAGTTCAGGAGCAGGTTGGTGCCAAGGAAGGGAAGAAAGGGGTGTGTGTGTCTGTGGATGTGGGATGGGGTTTGAAACTTCTTGCAAACATGGGAAGCAGCCTCGGCTTGTTGAAGTCAGGAAAACCCATTGCAGTCAGACGTGACTCTGCTGAGCCCTTCCGTCTGTCCCGGTGTTTCTCCCCCAGGAGCTCCAAATGAACCTGGCATGGTGCGCCTCGTCTGTGGGCACCACAACTGGATCGCAGTGGCCTATGCGCAGTTCCTCGTCTGTTACAGGTATCAGCCAGGGGTGGGTGGTGGAGGATGATGCAGCTGGATGCTGGAGGATAAGGGGAGGCCAGAAAGCATCATCTGCAGCTCCCTTGCCTCTGACGGCTCTGTCTGCTCCTCCCAGGATGAAGGAGACCTCCGGCTGGCAGCTGGCGTTCTGCAGCCCCCGGCTAGACTGGGTGATCGAACGGGTGGCGCTCCACGCCCGGGTGCTTGGCGGCTCGTTGGGGGACAGCGACAAGATGGTGGCGGCTGCCTCTTGCCATGAGATCCTGCTTTGGGCCGTCCAGCCGGATGGAAACGGCACCGAGATTGGTGAAAAACCCAGCCAAGCCATTTCCCTCTTTCTGGGGGTGGGGGGTAGGTGGGGGTCCAGAAGAAGGGCCCTGTGCAGAGTAGCACCCCTTGTCCAAGTTCCTGGGCCCCACCGGGCTTTTGCAGGCTGGCCCCTGGAGGAACAGATGGCCAGAGGAGGCCGGCCTTTTTGCTCCGGCCCAGGGTCAGGGCTCTCCTGAGGTTCTCCGTCCGCTCTTCCCTTCCTCCTTCCTAGGCGTCTTCCACTTGGGAGTGCCCGTGGAGGGCCTGTTCTTTGTGGGAAGCCAGCTCATTGCCACCAGCCACACGGGCAAGATCGGCGTCTGGAATGCCGTCACGAAGCATTGGCAGGTGGGAAGGGCAGCCGTGGCTCTCTGGGCAGGCGGGCGAGTGGGTGCGTGGGAGAGAGACCAAGGCAGGCAAACCTGTCCTGGGATTTCTCTCCTGGGGCTTGGTGTTTGCTGGTGACATCTGGACAGAGGGGAAAAAATGGGGGCCATCGGGTGAGCATAGGCATGGAGGGGCTCCACATTATGTGGAAGATCTGAATCAGGCCCAAGAAACGCCATGCCAAACATGGTTTCTCGGGTGGAGTGAATCGGCGTTTTTTCCTTCCCACTTCTCCACGTGCTTCGTGGTCTAAAAGGAACACCTCCCTCCACTTTGTTCTCCAGCTGCTTTTCTCGTCTTCTGAGGACTTGTGGGTTTCTTTCCTCTCGGCTCTTGGGGGTGAGGGGGCAGGGACCCAGGAGCGCTGCCTCTACCCCACCCTCTCGTCCTGACACCTTTTCTCCCCCACCCGCCATCCCCGCAGACTCAGGAGATGGTCCCGATCAACAGTTATGACGCGGCTGGTTCTTTCCTGCTTTTGGGATGCAACAACGGATCCATCTACTATGTGGGTAAGTGGCGAGGGGGGGGATGGCGTTGTTAGGTGGACAGGCGAGCACCCAACGAAGGCCTTCCCAGGATGCTGTGAGGCCCCGGGGGCTCTCAGGATGGAGCTGAGGTAGCCGTTGAAGGCTTCCCTGACCTTCCTGCCTTGGTGAGCTGGCCCATGGTTGGTTTTCTTTTCTCCCAACAGATGTCCAGAAGTTCCCGCTGCGCATGAAAGACAATGACCTTCTGGTGACAGAGCTGTACCGGGACCCTTCGGAAGATGCCATCACCGCCCTCAGCGTCTACCTCACGCCCAAGAGCAGTAAGGAGCCCGTCAGGTTGAAGGCAGAGCTTGGGGTGGCCATCCAGAAATGCCATCCACCCACTTCCTGCTTGGCCAGCAAAACCTGAGCAGAAAGGGGGGAGGTCTTGGTGCTTCCGAGTCCTGCGCCTGCTGCCACGCTCTGCCCCAGCTGAGCACCCCTCCCTCCCCGATCTCAACTGCCCTGTCCAAAGAGAGACCTCCTTGCCTGGTGCCATGGCGGTTGAGCATGGGGCTCCCTGGGCCCGCCTGCCGGTAAGGACACGGCATTTCCACACTGCTAACCCACACGGCTAGCAGTGCTCCGCTTCCTTCTCCAGGTAACAGTGGAAACTGGATTGAGATTGCCTACGGCACCAGCTCTGGGACCGTCCGGGTGATCGTCCAGCACCCGGAGACCGTGAGCTCAGGGCCTCAGCTCTTCCAGACCTTCGCCGTCCACCGCAGCCCCGTCACCAAAGTGATGCTGTCGGAGAGGCACCTGATCTCAGGTATTGGCCCAGTGGGGCAGTGGGCTGCCAGGAGTCCCTGTGCAGTGGGGGGGGCAGGGCAATGCAGAGCGGACAGGGCTCCCACCCCCCCCAGGTTGTCCTCACCCTCTGCTCCCCTTCTCCCAGTCTGTGCCGACAACAACCATGTCCGCACGTGGACGGTGACTCGGTTCCGGGGGATGATTTCGACCCAGCCTGGCTCCACCCCGCTCGCCTCTTTCAAGATCCTGGCCCTGGAGTCTGCAGATGGGCACGGGGGCTGCAGCGTCGGCACCGACATTGGTAGGTGGAGTTGGGGCAAAGATGGAGACGGAGCCTTCTGGGGGTGGGGGTGGGGAGGGGCACAGCGCCCTCCCTATTATTCCTGCCCCTTCTCAAGCCAGCCATTCCCGAGACCTTTGCCTTCCCCCTCCAGGGCCATTTGGCGAGCGGGACGACCAGCAGGTGTTCCTCCAGAAGGTGGTGCCCGATGCCAGCAAGCTGTACGTGCGACTCTCCTCCACGGGCAAGAGGTGGGTCTTCCTCCCTCTCGGCTCACCACCCTCCCCAGGGGGAGGTCGGCTGAGTTGCGCCACCTGCAGAGGTGGAGAAGGTCCTGCAGGCGTGCCGGCCTCAGGCTGCCCAGGCAACTTTGAAAAACAGAAGCCCTTGGTGGGCAGCAGCAAGCAGAGAGCCTGCCTTGAGCACCTTCCTTAGCCGTGGACCGGAAGTGACAGAGAGGCATAGTTCTCCAGCTCGGCTGCCACCCTGGCTTGGCGGCTGAAGCCTCTGCTCCCCTCCCCTTCCTGCTCTTGGACTCAAGAAAGGATCCCAGAAACCCCACACCCGCACACACACCTCTTTCCTTTCCTTCCGCACGGCAGGATCTGTGAGGTCTCCTCCGTGGACGGTTCTCCCATCACGGCCTTCATGGTGCAGGAGTGCGAGGGGTCCAGCCGCATCGGCTCCCGCCCACGGCGCTATCTCTTCACCGGCCACAGCAACGGCAGCCTTCAGATGTGGGACCTCACCACCGCCATGGAGATGGTGGACCAAGTGCCAGGTGCCAAGCTGGGTGGAGGAAGGACGGCCTGTGCTGGCAGGGGAGAGGGGAGGAGCTGGCAAGCCGGAGGCTGTGTATTGCGCAGCACCGGACACTCCCGGGGGACTAGAACAGATCTCCTGCGATTCCCTTCCTGCCTAGAAGACGTGACACGTGCCCTGTGACACTCGTTGCTTGGCCCAAAGTTGGATCTGACCAGCCCTGCTGGACTCTCTTTCTTGTTTTAGCAAAGGCTGTTTTTTCCCCCCATATCTTGGGTATGATGCAGCCAAGGCCTTGCTGGGCCCGTGGATTCCATCTCTCTCGACCACGTTCGTGTCTCTCTCTTTTTTCCCCCCAGACACTGGCAGCCTCTCGAAGGAGGAGCTTCTGCAGGAATTAAAGCAGTGTGACTTGGCTCTCGGCCACACCCCGGAGGCCAGCCCGGTTGGGACTTTCGACCCCTCACGGACCCTGAGCACGGCCAGCAACAGGTACAGACTGGCTGTGGGTTGCGTTCATAGACGTACCTGGGGGGAGGCGGTTTTAGAAGTCCCCACCATCCTTCCCTTGTCTCAGGCCGACACGTTCCAGACTTGAAACTGTGCCCAGATGTGAGCTGTGCCGAGGTCACAAAGAACAGTATAAATTAAGAAGCACGTTCCTGGTGGAGCCCTGATTCCGGATGCAGGGGAAGGTGTTCTTGCCAGTTGCTCTGATGTGCATACTACCCATGTTTCTAGCCGCGTTAGTGAGCTGTGCCAGAAAAATAACCAGCTGTTTGTGCCACCTTAAAGACCAACCCGGTGTGAGCGGTCGCCCACCAAAACTCATGCTTGCTGGCATGCCTGTGCGCATCTTTGATGTGCTGCGTGGACCTTCCCTCTTCATGGGAGATGTTAACCCGTGTCTCGTTTTCCCAGCAGCCCCCAACTTCAAAATGCCAGCCGGGCACAAGAGAGAGCAGCCGCCGGCTCCCCAGCCCTCCCGTCTCGTTCGGGTCCTGAGAACCGAGCCCCATGTGATGTGCAGCGAGGGGGCCTTGACAGAAGACGCCTGGGGGGGAGCTTCGTCGAGCGATGCCAGGAGCTGGCCCGGTCCTCGGAGGGCCAGTGGGTCAGCCGCTCCAGGGAGCCGGGGGGCAGAGGCAGCCGACGTGGGCGCCCCCCTGCTGGCCCGCCAAGTCAGAGAGCTCCCAACCCGAGCCCAGCCTCTGCAGAGCCCTCTTTCCCCCTGGCCCCCTCCCGGCTGCGGCTCAGCGAGACCTCTTTCTGAGCCCCTCTGTGGGGGCCAAGGGGGCCCGGCAGAGAGCTGGGGGCCAGTGTGTGCTGCTCCCCTCTGCCCATAGGGCACCCCGGGTGCTTACTGTCCATGCGTGCTGGGTGCCATAACGTATGAGTCGTGCCAAGGCAGCCCACCGTTCACGCCAAGCTCTTGAGCAAACCTGTGCCGGTGGCTTGCTGCTTCTTCCCTCTTTCCCTCCTACGGTAATGTGCTGTGTTCCTCTGTCCATCCCACACACACACAAACACACACTCAACACACACGCATATACACACCACTTTCTAGGCCACATAAGCCCCCTCCCTTCCAGAAGGGACTTCCATGTTTCTCAGGGTCCCCGTCCCCCAGGGCGCTGGGCGCTTTTCTCCCGTGCGAGGGATTTTGCACAAGGTCTGGGCCAGCCCGGTGAGTTCCTAAGGGGCCCTCGGTGGAGATTCCCAGGGTCTGGCCCCCTCCCCTATATTACCCAAAAAGCCAAAGCTGTCTCTGAGCAATAAGACCGTCCATGCTGGGCGATGAAGTTGCAGCACTGAAGTATTCCTTTTCTTCTTCTTCTTCTTTTTGTATCGGTCTGAGACCGGCTATAATAAATAAACACAGTGGAATAGGGACTTTTGTGTGCTCGTCTCCATGTGGGACTCGAGAGAGAGATTTTTCTGGGCAGGTGCTTTGGGGGGGGGGCTCTCTCTCTCTCTCTCTGCCTTGACCCCTCCACTTCCCAGAAGCTGAGAGCCCAGTCCGTTCCTTTCCGTTGGGTTCCAGGCGAGGCCAAGAGGACACAAGGGAGTTCCAAGGTGGGAGGGAGATGGGGTTGGAGTAGTCCCGCTCTTTGGGCAGAGGGGGGCATGGTCCACTTAACCCTGCTGTGCCCCCCCAACCCGCAGCCTGCTACCTCTGCCTCATGTCTTCCTGCCTCATCCGGTGCATGGGGCAGGGCATGCTGTGCTGGTCTTTGGTGGAGGCAGGGAGGCTCGGTCCCTGCCAAGGGTGTAAAGAAAACCCTCCCCAGCGTGAAACCAGCAGCTGGTTACCGGAAAGGTTGTGGGGTGGAGCTGCCTAATCTGGCCCCATGGCCGGAAGGGAGATGCGGTCGGTCCAGCCGGTGGTGCTTTCCTGCACACGTGCATGGGGCAGGGCATGCTGTGCTGGTCTTTGGTGGAGGCAGGGAGGCTCGGTCCCTGCCAAGGGTGTAAAGAAAACCCTCCCCAGCGTGAAACCAGCAGCTGGTTACCGGAAAGGTTGTGGGGTGGAGCTGCCTAATCTGGCCCCATGGCCGGAAGGGAGATGCGGTCGGTCCAGCCGGTGGTGCTTTCCTGCACACCAAAACGACGTCCTTTTTAATGCCCCCCCCCCCCCAAATGTTCCTGGCCACCTTGGAGAGCCCAGGGGCCATGGTGGTCAACTGTTTCCCAAACACTGGCTGCTCTTGAACGGTTTCCCTCCTAGGGTGGTTCTGGGTTTCCTCTTGAATCCCTGTTCCCTGGCCAGCACCCTCGCCGGACGGACGGACGAGGCTCTCCAACCAGGCCTTAACTTGTAGGGAAAGCCTGCGTGACAGAACTGCCTCGTTGTGAAGCTGGGAGGAATCAGCCGCTGCCCCCCCCTTCCAGTTTATAACGGGAGCCACACACACACACACACACCGCCTTCAGACAGCCTGCACCTGGCGTCCGGTGGCTGCATGGGCTGGGGATGGTCTTGTGCCCCCCCCCAAGATACAAAACCATCCACCTTCGTGCTTTCCCGCTTGGGTGCCCCCTCCTGCAACCTAATCTGGGGCAATTCCACCCTCCTGCCTGCCTCTGAGCCCCCCCCCCTACACACACACACCTCTTTACTGAGCCCTCCCTGCTCTCCTGGCAAGAGCCGGGGATGCCGGGGCGGGGTGGAGCGCTATCCTGCCCGGCCTCAGCACCGGCTCCCTCCCCGAGTGGATGAGAAGCTTGCATCGCTCGC